TCTGTTAACAATACAAATTAAAAAATAGTTATATAATTTAATGCTTTCCTTGGTAATAATATGAAGAAACCAGAGAATTTTATAACTAGAATAATTCAGTTTTCAATTGACTACATGAAAGAAAAAAAAAAAGACGTATTTTTATGAATCCTTTTAAGGTGATTTCAATTAAACTTCATTAAGCAGTCACTAATGTAGAAATCTGCTAAATATAAAATATCATAAAGCAAGAACAGAAGGGAAGTAAATCATGTCATTAAAAATAGAAATGTTCATGATAGAAAAATTAAAAAATGGCTCCCTTTTACTTTTTAAAATAACTTTAATCCTATTAGTATCTAAACTTCCCCAATTGTCCCCCAAATACCCCTTCCCATAAGTTTTCCAAAACCCAGTTCAGTCCAGCACCACACGCTACATGTGGTTCTGCAATGGTTCTCCTTCCCTATCCACCCCACCTCCACACTTATGAATGTTGCTTTACCTGTTATTCCTCAAAGAAATAAGAGGAGAAACATCACTTTAAAAATAAGGGATTCAATTTAAGTGTAATGAGAATATCTCTAAAAAATTACTTACCAAAAGAGAATAGGAACGCCCATTATGTTCAAAAGGCTCAGAAAAGAAATCGGTACTGTGGTCCAGCCTCTGGTGTCCTCCAAACTCAGCTGCGTCGGAGTCCAGCACAATTTTGAACGTACAGAAATTGAGGAATCACAACGGCTCAGGACGTGAACCAGACATTATAAAGCATGTTCTGAGATGGCAGTTTAAAAGTGAGTATTCTGCACACTGTGAAGTCATAACTTCTGCTAAATACTCCTCCTCCTACTATTTCAGATTCTCATGTTTGAAAGGGGTTCACAGGCTATCTAGCCCGTACCCCCATGGGAGCGTTATTATTCTCCTGTCACAGCTCATCAACAGGCCATCCAGCCTGGGACTGAATACACCTATTAATGAAGGATCTACTCTTCTCTCAAGGCGATTCGTTCCATTTGTTAGAAATTCTCCTCCATAGTGAACAGCCATTTGACTCCTAGGGACTATTTCTACCCAGAAAATCCAGAAAGAATAAGTTCAAATATTTAATAACCTTTCAAATATTTAATAATGGCTATGTTATCGCCATGTGTCCTCTACATAGATTACTAAATACACATTAAATACAATCTTAGAACTTTTGATCATTCCTCACTTCATATGGCTTATTACTCCTTCCCCATCTCTGAATTCATCTAATTTTCTAGATCCTAGTTATTAAAGTCAGGAACATGGGAGTCAACAAGTGTCCATGTGTGGTCCAAGGAGCACAGAACCCAACGGACTTAATCCTCCCACTGGTTACATGCAGTAGGTTACCAACACACAAGATCATGTAAACTACTACCCATCATTCCGCAGGTGCATTCATGCTGCAATCATGCGATTTAATACAATTCAACATCTGATTCCTCACCGTGAGTTATTAGACATACTAGCATTACCATAGTTACAACAAAATAAAAGCTATAGTTATTATGCTCCAATTTATTATGCTCAAAATTCTAGACATGACATTTTGAAACAAAACTCTGTAAGAAAAAATACATTGATACTTAGAAATCTTAAATTTCTTCTAGCCTAAGGAGGGATACAAATGGGTTTGTTTTGTGTTTTCTTTTTCTGTTATATAAATCTTGAATCTCAGTAATGTTTGTATATTTTCATTATAACAAAAATTAAAAAGACATGAAGGTGACAGACAATGACCATCATGTTCACGTCGGGCAATCTTGTCTGGGTAGCAGATGCAGATGGACTCGCAACAGGAACTTTTGCTGGGAGTGGTGGCTCCATTTCAATCAGTCCAGGTCAGCCTGCTCTGATTCACTTTCAGACTGATAATCAACATATTAGTGTGTTTAAAGGAGAAAGAAACAGAGAGACTGAGACTCAAAAGATGACTAACGGGCACAGGCACATTCTAAAGTCACTCAATAGAGCTAGAAATGATTTGAACATACTAGTTTATACAATGGTGAAGTATGTGTAGTGAAAATAATGAATTGGAAACAGAGTGAATAAATGAAGTATTATAGAATGACAGGAACTATTACTACAAAAGTTTAGCTTTTTTTTCTTCATCTTAGTTCATTAAACTTGTACAAATCTTCCAAAAGCAAAAACAAAACCAAGAGTACAGTTTAGAGAATAATGTCCTAGGATACTTTTTAAAACTTTTGAAAGAGTGTCAATTAGTAAACTCCTGGTTAACAACATAGATTAAAGCAATCGTATCATCAAAAGCAGTGGATGCCAACCTGTGGGATGACCATCACTGGTAATCGTGCTATTATAAGGGCCTCACTGGATGAGTAATTATTATAAGGGACTAGGAATCTATGTGAGCATTAGGCATTGCCTGAAGACCGAATTCTGTTATTATACACATTCAATACTGTATTTCAAATAATATGCATGCTTTCTGATTAATAAAATACAGATTCATTTAAAAAGTCAGAATTTATAGTAAGTTTTTGCCTATATATTATCTCAATCAAGGATACTGAAAGAACAATTGTTATATAATGATCCAATTCTTTTTGACATTGAAAGGGATCATCATACTTAAAATGGTTAGAATCTATTCACTTAATACATATAATTTGTAGCTATAAAGGAAAAGCTTGCAAAACCCATAATGAAAGTTTCAAAACATCAGTGTAGACCTATTTCTTTGATCTATAATTTAAAGAAAAAAATTCTGCTGTAGCCACTTTTGGAATTACCCAGCCCTGTATCTATATTACCCAGAAAACACAATAAGTTCCTTTAGAAAACTCAAACCTTAAACTCCAGAATGTCCAACGATTTGAAACACTAATTAAAAATAATGATTGTGAAATGGCTTTATCATTGTAAATTACTACCACCTATTATTCAAGTATCAGGAATACCCCATCTTTTAGGAACACTGCTTAAAACAAAACTGTTTTTAAGAGGTTATTTGAACAACCGGATATTTTTCCATTCTCCCACTCAGGCATTCCTTCACTGCCTCTTTCTAATGTGTGTATGAGTGTGTGTGTGTGTATGTGTGTGTGTGTGTGTGTATACATGCACATGTGCACACACTCATACAAACATACATGACATGGAACCAACATAGCACCAAAATCCCTTCAAACCCCCAACTTCCACTAAAAGAAATATCTATTTGAAAATATATCTCAGAGCCAATTTACACTTATTTTAAGCTACCTTCTTTATACGGTTTTCAATACCAGAGTAGATAAAATAAATTTAACAGGACCCCTCAACATGCCCTTTTTTATTCATAGCTACCTCCCTACACTGAGCAGAGTGCCTTCTCATAATAGATTCTGAATACATCTTTGAAAGCAGTGTTTTGATTTACCAAGAAAGGTCAAACTATATACCTTTTATATATATATATATATATATATATATATATATATATATATATATATATATATGAAGAAAGTAGAATACACTATCTTAACTCCCCTGTTCACTTACTGAATAATACAATGTGCAAGGCACTGTATAAGATTAAAAAATGACTAAGACACAGCCTTAGTTTATATGCAATTTAGAGCCTGTAAGGAGATCCTAGACATGCACGACAATGTCTATATATAAAGTGGAAAGCAATATTCAATGAGAGGTGGAGCCAAGAAGGCAAGGTAGGATTGACAGTCTGTGTATAAAAAATTTTGAAGGCTGTGCTGGGTTTTAAGATTTATTTTGGTAATTAAGTATGAGAATGTTGAAGATTTGCGGGAAAGGTTATGATAATTAAGAAAATGAACCTGGAGGTTGGTGACAGAATAGGAATAGACACGGGAAATCTTAGGTCAGAGACTAGTCAGGAGTCTAACAATGGTCTCTGGGTAGTAATATTGCTAAACTTAGATAGAATGGAGAGACATAGCTACATCAGGGAGAATTTGGATGTACAACTGATGGTATCAGAAGGTAAGAAAACAGATGTTCAATTTGGGGAAACAGAAGTGGAAGGGGAGAATAGCTGTGACCAAAGACACACAATCAGTTTAGTGGCAAAGTCAAAGGTACATCTAATTACCCTTCTCTCTACAAGTGGGCACCCATTTTATGCTGCGAATCAGGCAAAGTGTTTTCATATGCAGTTTCTTGTTTAATTATAAATTTGAGATTCTACAAATAAAGATGCCAGAATAAACATAAGAAAAGCAGATAAAGTGATATTTGTCTAAATGATTAATCTAATGCAATTTAAAAGACTGGTGTTAAAGGACTGAATTTTTAACATTCCTTATGGAATCTGAATATCTGTGAAATTTATTGCATTTTCTCTAGATCCACTTTTTTCATTTGGTCATTTTATTGCTGAATACAAAATAGTGAATCAAAAAATTTACCTTGTTCAATTTTGGAAAACACAGTAGGAAAAGGATAATTGAATGACATAATTATTTTATGGAGACTTTTTAAAAAGGAGATCAAATAGGTTCCTATCCATTTGAGTGTCATTTTAAAATATGATTTCTTCTTTTAAATTCAAGAGCTTCCTAAGTATTTGATATATCTATCAACATGTTGAAGCAGGTAAGATGTTATAAGCATTATTTTATAATCTATGTCCTTAAATTTGAACCAAGGAGGAGCCACGTTCTGAAGACCTGTGTTAATAAGATTAAAGAACAGTGAAGACATGAAGACTCTTAAATTCAATGGCTCTTCAAATACTTCAAAAGCTGCTGTGTTTGCTCAGCCACTTGATGAAGTGTCTGTTCAAAGTATAAGGATTTTGATGTAAGAGGTACTATCATTTATATCATTCTGCACTAAACTCACTTCACTCCCGCTGATGAAACTAAGGGAATGTATTGTAAGGTACAATCCCTGAGGTTTCAAACTGTGTGGCAATAAAAGGGGTTCTCCAGTGACTAGATGACCACAAGGTTGGCAAAGCTAGTAAGTTACCATGTATCTTTAGATCTAAGACATTAATAAAGAGAAAAAAATAAATCACAACCAAGGCAATCATTGTAAGACACATCTTCACTGAAGACATGTTAAAATGTGAAAAAAAGTACATCTTAAGAATTCATGAATACAAAATTTGTGAATACAAAATATTGGACTAAAATATTTACCTTGCTCAATTTTGGAAAATATAGTAGGAAAAGGATGATAAAATGATATAATTTTTTAATGGAGATTTTTTTAAAGAAAGATCAACTAGGTCCCTATCCATTTGGATGTCATTTAAAACTATTTAAATACTTAGAAACAAACAAAAAGCCAATATCATAGATACAGAGAACAGATTGGTGGTTGCCAGAGGTGGGCAGTGGGAGAAATAGGTGAAGGAGGTCAAAAGGTTAATATATATATTCATTCATACATATATACATATAATTCATATATATGTGTATATATATATATGAATCTAGTATGTTAGTTTCAGATCTGAGTCTTTTACCAACCCACCCATATTATTAGGATTGCAATAACTTCTGGGAGCTGAGTGACTACAGGAGAAAGAATCTATATCAAAGGCAGAAAACATTAGATGTGAAATTCTAAGGAACAGTGAACCAACATCCTGTGGAGTAAATACAAGTACTGAAAAGCAAGGAGAATTTTATGTTTTTTAATAGTCTCAAAATAACTAACCAGCACAGGACATGCCATAATGTTCTAATGTAACTCTTCCCTTT